ATGGTTCGAGTATCCAACTTTGAAGAAAATCTGCCGAAAAGCCTACCAGCCCGAGATTTTGTTGAGCAGACGGCTGCCGAAAAGTTACACGCAGTCATTCAAGAGATGAAAACAAACAACGTGAGTTCAAGCGATTAGAACCTCAAAAACTGCACTTTTTCACCAATTCTATCGACAGGAGATCTTCGATGTTGTCCTAGCCTCAGATACTGTAATTTACTTTGAAGGAGAGATTATTGGTAAGCCTACAGATGCAAAGGATGCCTTCAGGACTTTGCAGAGGTGAGCCAGTTCATAGTTGAATGACTGTAAGAGAGCCTCAGTGAGTAGGATAAATTGTGGCGCCAAACGAAAATCTCCTTACCCCTTCTTTTATTACCTTTTTTATGTTCAAGCTTTTCTGGCGATAAACTTTCCTGATTTTCAATTTTCATAAAGAATAAGGGTTCGGTTAGGGAGGGCATTTTGCACTTTCGCTAGTTCCTTTTGCTAATTCATGCTAACAAAGAAGTAACCTCTTGTTAAGCTGCGAAATGATACAAATGAACCAGTTTAGTTACAAGATTTCGCCACTCGCTCCTTGACGGCGCATCCATTCTAACTTGGCGCATTATCCTGCATTCGCGCCAAATACAGGGTTGCGAAGCGTCTCGGGATACTTGTCAACTGCGGAGCCTTCATCCTCCTTCCTTTTCTCTTCCCCCTCCCCTTCCCTTCTCCTTTCTTTTCATTCCTTCCTTCTCTCCTTTTCCCTCTCCATTCAACTGCTGGACCAGTGAGTGGGATGAGAAAACAACTCTGGATCCTCGTAGCGAGAACATGTCTGGTTGACAAGAGCGAGTGGAGCTGTACATCAGCGGCAAGGACAGGGCACGTCGTACTCTCGGGAATACCCAGCGAGAGTCGTTTTTAGTCGCTGGAGGCGGTTTGCCCCTCCCCCACTCTACTTGGCGGCACAGTCAATCTATACAGCTGCTATTTTTGACAGTTCCATCTAGTAGTAGTTTAATGGCGGAACTTTACGAGGGATCGTATTTTGCTGGAAATTTCCACAGCGACAGGACATAACCCGACGGAGAAAATGAGCTGGACTCAGACTGAAGAAGAAATAGGTGCTCAGGAAGCTACATAAATCCATGCTGTGTTGCTCAGGAGTTAGATTTTTGAGCCCTGGACATGTGCACACTGATCCACATGCCCAGGGCTCAAAAATCCAACTCCTGGGCAATACAGCAGCCGAGATTTTGTTTTTCGTCAAGATTTGTTGGGAAATTAGGAAAATCTGAATCCTCGGTCAGAAAGGATTAGTCAGCACCGATAAACAAACCACGTCACACTCTGTCCTAATGTTCAGAGACCAAACTCGCCAGCTGTTCAGGAGCATGAGTTACTAGTTAACAACTGTCATTTTTTTGGTTACGTCACTTACTACAACCATCAATAAATAGTTTAGGTTACGAGGACATGAACACTTTGTGTACACTGGTGTGGCTTTGGCGTATAACGACGGTACTGAGGAAGTGTTCAGTGAAGAGACACGAGTGGAATTTGGGGATTACCCGGATCGAATAATTAAACAATACGTCGACAGTGGGGAACCTTTGTAAGTTATTAAGTCAATATGTTATACGTTAGGACAGCTTGGATACGAGGTATTTAGGGACCGGATCGTGAGGTCCCCCCCCCCTCCCTCAAGACAACTAGCCCATGAAAAGCTCAATCCTCGCATTTCAGCAGCGTTTGTTTTGCTTCTATCATCTCGAAATCATCGGTGCCAACGTAGTTAAGCGGAGCCACGCGGCGGAGCACTAAGGCCGCGTTCATACACAGCGCCTCCGTGGCCTCCGCGGAATTTTTAGAATAAGCAAAGTATACGTATCGATTTGGAAATTCCGCGGAGGCCACGGAGGCGCTGTGTATGAACGCGGCCCAAGCTCCGCGGGTAGAGCATGTCGAAGTTGGGGATCCATAGATGGGGTGTTCGTATTCGAGAGGGGGTCTTATTTACCTTAGAGAAAAATGTTCCTGGCTGTTGGCTTTTCTCATTTTTCCCCGTTTCAAGTAAGTCCCTCCGCTCGTCACTGGTTCTTTGATGGACAGCTGGAGAATTTTTGGAAACCTCCGCAAAAGTGGTGTGATGTTGGAAGAACCTGGGAAGATGTTAGGTGGGATTGAGGAGGGGTCGTAATAGAGGTGGAAAGCATTTCCCCTAGTGGTAGGACGTGCCCTGCCTGCATGATATAGGGCATTGGTCTTCGAATGGGTGGACCAACTCTTTTATGTAAAAAGTAGTGGTTTCAGGGTCTTGTTCCGGGAGCGCCCTACCATACCCCCTAAGTCTTAGACAGTTTCCTGAGAAAAAGTTAACAACAGAATTCTAACTTTTTCTTCATTTATTAAGACTTTAAC